GGAATTTTAAAAAACTGCATGCTACGCTGTAACTGACTGTTTTGTGAAGATTATTTATAGAGAAAATGTTTTATGTTTGTCACATGAGCATTGCTCCTACTTTAAAATCTTTTATTGTCAAGCCAGCTAGTACATGCAATTCCTGTCTGCTTTCTTGGGGCAGACTTTGAGCTTTAATTACTTTTTTTCCCCTTTGCAATCACTGTGCAATATAGTAAAAAAAAAAAAAAAAAGTCCTAGTTTATTTTTTAATTGTTGTGAGGGTCCTTATCCCTTCAATGCAGTTGCAAGTAGTCTATAGAGAATCCTTTATTCGCTACTGTGAGCTTAGAACTTGTCTGTTTTGGACATTACTTGTGGCAAAAAAGTTAATTCATTTAACCTGTGGTTAGTATTTCCCGAAAGCAGCGATTGCCTTATTGTAATGATTTTGGGTGTTTAAACAGTATTTCAGTGAAGTGATGCAGGAGTTGTCCACATGATGAAAAGGAATGGGTTTTTCTTCAGGAAACTGCTTTCTGATTAAGGCTGATTTTGATATGCTGCACATTTCTAGCTGACTTATTTCTGTTAAATCAAGATAAAATCATGTTTCAGCAAATTTTAGGTAGTACACGAAAGAATTGCAAATGTTAATTCTTTTACTATGAATAAGATCTTGAGCTTCTTATTCATTAGACGTTTTTCTTTTTGTATCTGAACAAATCTTTGCTTTAGGAAAAAGATTTTTGCTTTTTTTTTTTTGATTTTGACATATGCTTCTTACTCTGGCAAAGCAAAAATGACAGATTCAGTTGAATCTTGGCGAAACTTTTTTTTACTTTATTTTTTTTCTTTTGTTCGAGAAGCAATTCCTCAGTTACAACTACCACTGTTCAGACAATAAGAACACTTTGACTCGGTGAAACATCAGCTCCGGGGAAGAGCATGATGCGGATGGCTCCAGTTTGGCCTCTTTGCGTGTGCAGCTCGTTGTGTGTGTGTGTGTGGTGCTCGTGCCGTGTGTTTGTGTGCTGGAGCTCCTGGCAGAGCTGTGCTGTGAGCAGCGCCGGCACAGCGGGGCCGCTCACGGCACCGAGCCGCCCGCGGAGCGCGGCTGCTGCCCTGCTGCTCGCCCTGCCCAGAGCCATCCTCGTCCCACGGTGGGATGTGTTCAGTGGTGCTGGGCTCTGAACAGGGAGCTCCTCGCCTAGCAAAATGGAGCTTAAAGAAAAGACAGGGCAGGTGGTGCTGGTGTGCCACAGGACTTGACTGGCATTGGGACTGGACCCTTTTATTTCCTTATTCCTCTGTTTTCCTACACTTGCCCTCTGGGAGTCCAGGGCATCCTTCTGGCTGCCCTGGCAGGTCTGGGACCCTGGCAGAGGTTAGGAACCCCTCTGTACAGAGCCCCCAGAGACACTGTCTCTGATCTCTGTCCATGGAAAAGAGTTTTCAATCTTACAGGATGAATTACAAGCTCTGAGTGTTTGATATAAGTAATAATTATGTTTGGCATGGGTGCAAAAGTAAAATTTTAGGATCTAGATAAGGGGTCCAAAGGGCACAAGATGGAGGAAATTGGGTGTGTCTTGTCCTTTTTCTCCTTCTTCATGCCCTCCATGTTTCACTGTAGTATTGGCATTTTTCTGTTGGTTCAGGCTGGGGACACACTGTTCAACATAGGTGACAGATATTGGCACGTTATTGTAAATCCAGCCCAGGGAGTTTCTGGTATTTAATGTTTGTAACATCCCACTGAGGGCAGAGCCCCACACGCTGCCCTGCAGGACAGAGCTGGGCAGGGCAGCAGAACATGTTAGAGATAAACAGAATAAACAACCTTGGAACCAGCACAGACCAATTATGGCTTCTGCTTTGGCAGCAGGGCTGAAAGGGACTTTCTACAATTTCGGAATCATCAATACCACAGATTCCGACATTGCCCTTCTAAGCTACATTGGTTCCTCCTTTTCCCATTCCCTAAAGATTCCCTAGCAAGTCTAACCATCTCTGGTTGCTCTTTTACCTCACAGTAGGTGTTCAAACCCCACTTGCAGTGACAGCCCTCAGTCTGTGAAGTGCTCTGAAGATCCTTTCCATTTACACACTCTCTCAGGTCTCATACACACTTGCAGTATTTTAGTGTTTTAGCTCTCAGGCCACAGCTGAGAGATCTCTGTATGCCTTTGCATGTGAAGATATAAAAAACCATTTAGCTCAATTGATTAGAGCATGGTGCTCATGACACCAAGGATGTGGGTTTGGTCTCCCTGTGAGCCATTCACTGAAGAGCTGGACTTGATCCTGAGTTTCTCAGTTAACCTCTTTATATGTGTATTGTTAGGGTTATGAAGTGATTCTGAGACTTTCTTTCATTTTTATCTCAAATGGAATGTTTAAGTTGATAGGCTGGGTTCATGTTCTTCACTTCTGTGATCTGAGTCTCTATCACATCACTCAAATGTTTTTCACCTTGTTAAGCATATTGGATGTAAGATTTTTTTTTGCCATATATCATGGAGAACAACAGGAGAAATGTACCTTGAGTGATTTTTGTTGACTTGCATGCTCTGTGTTGTGTCTCAATAATTCAAGTTAAAGTTTTGAAAAAAATTGCAGTGCCAACAGCATTTAATCTCCCCCCTCCTTCTATCCTTAGAGTGGGCAATAAACCCATTTTGATGAAATGCTGTCAAACTATAAGTGTCCAAGAACAAGATTCCCTTCTGAGCAATTCTGAATTAAAAGCTGAATATTTCTATATCTCTTGAATTCCTTATTCCTTAAGTCACTATACTTCATGATAGGACTAACTTTTGATTTTTACTCTGAAGTCTAACATTTATTGGGCAGTTCTCAATCTGTTTTAACATTCAGTATTTTTATTAAGTGCTTACCAGTGTTGCTTTTTTAAAATAATGCCTGCATCTTTAATATGACAATATTAAGTATGGCTGTCCAAATTAAACTAAAGTGTTTGGTTGCCCTTAGTCTTCTAGAGAGACATAGGCATTACTTTCCATTATTTTTCCTCCTCAGGATTAGGTAGTAAGATGTTTGTTTCAAACATTTAGCTTGCTGTTGTAAAAGATATCAGCAGGTGCAAAAATGAAGTGCAGCACATGTTGCTGCAAAACCCCCAAGTATTTCTTCAACTTCAGCAGATGTAGAGTGGGAAGAGTCAAGTAAATGAGAACACAGCACGATGAAAAGGAATTTATGCCATATTTCAAATTTGACATAATTGGTTAAGGTCTGAAGAGAAAACAAATGAAAACAGCAATCATGAAGTGAAAACTACTGCCCCAAAGTGTGTGAAGGTTCTTGAGTTACCTCAGTAAAGTTTTGTGAGGCTCTTTTTTTGTTTGTTTAAAGGGAGGAATGTTTTAAGTCTTCCTCAAGCTATTCTTCCTTCTGTTCATTCTACACTTTGCCCACTTCTTCCATGAATAATAAAGTTACCATTGCCACAGACCATTAACTCTTGCTTAATTATTTCTTACATTTGCTTTCTTCTGCCTGGTAATGGCATTGACATGTGTGGGTTATGCAGTGCTGGATACAGCACATTTAGCTGTTGCTTCTGGTTGCCTGGGTTGCATTCGATTGCTGATGTAAGAGAGGGGACACACACAGTGATGGAGTAGTTGCTTGAGCACCAGCTTTACATTTCCATCTTAGTTTCTAGAAAAACATCCCATTTTGGGTTAATTATTGTGGGAAATAAGATGCGTTAATGTATTAGTTATATGTTAACAGTCTAAGAAAAACAGAATAATGAAACTTTGAGGTTGACTTTTTTCTTGGCCTTTCACAACTGTTTGGTGATACATAGTGAGTATTGTGGCTACATGATGCCTGAACTCTAGACAGAGTCTGAATTAATATTATTTTATGATTTATGAAATGACCAGTTCTGATTATCCGCTGACCTAATGAGTAGACACTTTACACATCAGAACTTGCCCAGGATAATCCTGTGGGCCTGTGAGAAAATCCTTGTGTCAGAGATACAATGCTGAAGCTTAAAAATAGACATTTGCTCCTCAAAAGGAATTTGCTACTCTTCCAAATTTGTTATTCACTGAGTCATGCTCTAATATACAAATGCAGTGACCTCATCTTTACTGGAGAGAGTAGAAGCTGTTCAAATAATATGCATTAATTTCACCTCCATCAGATGCAAAAATTGTGAGTACATATACCTGTATTTTTGCACACAGTATTTTCTTTTTTGCAAACTCAACAATCTTTTGCTCAGAACACAGTGTGTTTGACATAAAAATAGGTGAAACTACTGTTCATAGAGTTGTGCCTAGCTTTGCTTTAAAATTAATTAATAAATGTCAGAAATTAAACAGTTCTGTGTGAAGTGGCTCTAAACTCCAAGTAAATCCAAACTCTTTTAATGCTTAACAGATAAGCCTTTTATTTCAAACTTGTATTTGCTGTAGGTCTGCTTGCATGCACTTTACTTATAATAAGTTGTCAATTTTGTGATGACTGTCACAGATGTTTTAAATGTTTAAAAATAGCATTCAGCACTCTGGATTATCTAGGTTGTCAGCCAAATTATTTTTCTGTCTCTTAATTGTTGATTTTGTGCCTGAAAATAATTAATGATATAAAACCAGATCTTAATTTCTCAAAATCTAGTACAATTAATTTACTTAATGATGTTTTAGACTTCTAGTCAGCCTGAAACAAGTGTATGATGCAAGTTTTGTACTTGTATTCCACAGCTTGAACTGTCAGCATAAAATCAATCAATAAATAACATTTCTTTGGAGAATCTATTAAAGCTGTATTTGAGCTTTTCAAAATTGTTGGTCAGGCTTTAGATCTGACTGATGAAATTATGATCCTGTAATACCTTATTTTGTATGTATAACTTCATGGTAGCAGTAGCTTTTTTTCAGCTTATCCCCAAATCCATCTGATTCTATTAATCTCTGTGTGGAGGTCATTGTTGAGAGCTGTACATTAAAGTCCTTTATGTTTTGGTTTGTGTGCTTTAGGTGAGTTGTGTAACCTCATAACGCTGGATGTAGCGCACAATCAGCTTGAGCATCTTCCAGAAGAGATTGGAAGCTGCACGCAGATCACCAACCTTGACTTGCAGCACAATGAACTCCTGGATCTGCCAGAAACCATAGGTATGTGAAGAGGCTGGAGAAGAGAAAATAAATCACTATTCCAAAATGCTCATTAAGGGGAACAAATTTAGGAATGAGTACTTGTTGGTGTCTATCAGATGACTGGTGTTCAACTCAACATAGCTTCACACTTGAGATTTAAAGCAACGTGTGCTTGTTATCTTAAATTTTACCTTAAATAATTTAGGAATAAGAGTTACAGTGAAAAAAATCAAAATCCATTACTTCTGAATCTTAAGGTGTTCTGTGGTTATAAGCAAATGTCTAATGCTTGTTCATTGTGTAACAAAACTGAGGCTATAAAGAAATGAAAGGCTCACTTATAGTTGAAGTGTAGTACGTTGGCAGATAATTTTAACTTGAATCTTTGCCTAAAGAAAAATAGAACTAAAATCATAAATGTTTTAAATTAATTATGTATATATTATGTTGTTTGGTGGAACATCTAAAAAAATCCCCCAAGTCCACAAGGTCATCATGCTCTTATGCAATAGAATGCAGAGTTTGCAACTTACATTGGGAATAATAGACTAAGATAAACACAGTCCTGGTTGGTTTCAGAATCTCATATGAGATAAAGCAATAAAATATGCCTTTTCATATCTCATCAAATCAGTTTTAAAAAGATAGCTGCTGTTTTAAAAAAATGTGATTTAAAAAGATTAAAAACAAGGCCATCCTGATTTTAAGTTCTGTCACCAGAACATTTTCAGAAGAATGAACATTATCAGTTTAATGGTATTCAGAGTTGAGCACTTATTAATGTACTTTAATTCATAGTAAAGAGAAGAACCATTTAATGACACTCCAGCTTTTCTACTAGCTGTAAACTGTTGAGGATGGAGTTACTGTGACTTTTGGTTCAGAAAGTTTGACCTGAGCAGAGTTTACACTGATGATGTATCCACTGGAACTAAACTTCGTTCCTGGATTGATATTTTTAAATTCTGGAGATCTCATTCCATCTGGAGTTTGCATCTAACTTACACTATTCATAAGTACAGCCTTTATTTGTGTTGCTATTTTGTAAATCTTGCTGCATGTTGTTTTACATAACACTTACATGTAGTGTACGTATCACATTTAGGGAGCAAGTTCCCAGGATAAACTGTTAATTATGGGAAAAATTCTATAAGCGTGAGATTTCCATATTCAAGGCTTATAGACTAATGCTGTTAATTCCCGTGAAGAGTAGTAGTATTATTTACTAGGTTGCTTAGTACCTGGTAGTCACTGAACTTCTCAAAGGACCAGAAAAATCTCACTTGTAATATGCTGCAAGACTGTACTTACAGGGAAAAGTCTCTGAGTAGGAGAGGCACAAAGTTATTAGGCAGTTAAGTCTTGTGATAGATAGGAAATTGCTTACTCTGCAGTCAAGATAGTTTGGACTCACCTATTTCTTCAGAAAGTTTTTGTAAGCTTAGGTGGTTTCTTTTGAGTCAGGTTCTTACCTGGTTGGACTGGATTTCTGTTTTCTTTGTTTAGTTTTTCCCTTGCATTGTCTGTACAATGGTTAGAAGTTACTTGCTTTTAAGTGTTGGTAGCTGTCTCTTTACATGCTTATCTGAGCTGAATATCAATGTTTTAGAGCTCAAGAAACCACAAAAGATAGCTGAATAATGGTAGGAGACAGGAGTGAGCTGTCGTTTCGTTAACCTTACTCTAGTTCAGTTTTGCTCCACTGGAAAATCTCTCTTGTCAACAGTAAGTTAAAGAAAAAAGGTATTTAAATAAGAACTTAAAATCAGGAATCCATGTTTTTGCCTCCTGGGGTTTGCAAACAGAATTTAATAGTGAAGGGAAAGCTTTAGGTTCCATCTTAAATGATAATGATCAGCCTACATTTATGCATGTTGCAGAAAAGGCACTGTAAGCCAGTTCAGCAACATTGGCTTTATTTCTTAGTCATCGCAGTTTTGGTTCAACATATGAAAGCAAGTTGTGGCATGATTTTTAGATTACAGCTTGCTTTGTGGTTGGGATTGTTCAGCGAGAAACTTTGAGTGCTGAGAAAAACCCGGCGAGTCAACGGCGCACGGGCGGCCGGGGTGGCCCTTGGGCCTCTCCAGCTCTCAGGGCAGTTTCTGTCTCTGCCTGCTGTTTGCCACGACTTTTCTTGCCTTTTCTTGTAGCATTTCCAGGTGTCAGGATGCTCGCTGTATCAGTGCTGTTAATGGTTCTCAGTTCAAACTGTGGGTTACAGACCAAGCACATTTGCTCGTTGTAAGAATTGGATGTTCTGTGAGCCCATGAGCCTCCTGTTGTGGGCCAGGCTTTCCATTACTGCCAGGTCTGTCCCCTCCTCCCCCACTGACACCCTTTTTGATTGAGGCCTCAGGTTTTCTTGAGAAGGATGTTTTTGTCATGCTGCTTTGAAAAACAAGCAGCTCCCTTTGCTTTCTATTTCTCCCTCCCCTCAGAAAGGACCCTTTTCCTTCCCCTCCATCAAAAAACCCTCTTAAAGTAGCTGCTGGACTATCTAAACAAGTTTTGGTTTTACCACAGAAAGATTTCAGAGTCTGCCTAACTTAAAAAACAGCTTGTTTGCACTGAAATGTGCTGGAGCTGTGAGAAAGGGACGTGAGGGTGACATGCAGGGGAGTGGCAGGGAAGGGATTATGCATCAGCAGTGATTACAGAGGTTGCAGAGCCAATATACCCACTTTGTAAATATACCATGTTCTTCTCTCAACTAATGCTGTAGAAGCATGCTTTTGTGCAGTAACAAATGTCGATTTTAGATATTAGTTGTCAGGAAGTGACCTAATGCCTTGCTTTATAGATATTGGCTTAATACATTCATATCTGTATTTCTGTTGATTGAAAATTGTAAAGTACTTTTTATATTAGATCATTTCCTGTAAGAAAAATGAGCTTTGTGGAAGGGCTTAGCACATTTTGAGAGTCTTGAGCCCAGAATCAAAATCATAGTGGGATCGTAGCTGTTTAGTGTTTTCATTGCAGATTACACCCTCCCCTCACCCTCCCCCCCATGTTGTGATGTTTTTTTGGTTGTGTTTTTTTTTTTTTCTTTTGGAGGGTGGTGGAATTGTTAGCTACTTTTATTTACACAGTGCCTTATCTCTGTATACTTAGCTGGCATGCTAATGTATCCAAAAGTTATATAGAAGAAGGTCAACAACATACCATTTATATTAAAATTATGAATTGAACTTTTGAGACTGGAAACAAATTTTGGGTGGAGTAAATTGTTTCTTAGGATTACAAGATAGCTTAGATAATTTTGTCCTGCAAATACCACATAGTGAGTATTCCCTCTTTGAACTTTTAATTTTAGTGTTCTGTACAAATCTGTTCACAATTTCATATGTAAAAGCATAGAAAAACTGATTTGAGAAAGAAATATAACAGAAACAAAAGAGCTACAGCTTTTAATAATACCAGATTCTTCATCTGCTTTGTAATTTTCTAGTTTTGTGTGCTTACGTGTGCAATTTGATCATAGTCAAGTGTGCCATATTCACAGGCATCTAAGGCAACAGAAATTTTAATAAGAAAAAGAATAGTCAGTTGTAAATGTTCCAAAATTATACTTTAAAAGCACAAAAAATTCTGTCAATGGACACACTTTCCAGTGTCTGACATAGCACTGTTCCTAAGAGATGGTTAGGAAAATGGGAAATTCATTTACAGCTCTGCACTACCCTCCTGCCCTTCTCTGTGGCACTGTAGCTCAGAAGCTAAAATCACAGCTTTCATGAAACGAAATAGTACTTATTGGTTGGTTTTGCTGGTTGAAATTGTGCTTCAAACCACACTTTTAACCTGTTTAACCCTAATGTACCTCTGAGAGCACTGCTGTGCTCTTTAAACCTACAGCTGATAAAACATGAAGCGCTGACCAGAACCAGACGTATGGAATTGGTACAGCTCAGGTTATGCAAAATTGTGGTTGAGAGCTTTAAGTCCCTAGAAGTAAAGATATTTATGAAGAAATGTGAAACTACTTTAAAATGGTATTTTAAATTTGGCAGGTTTAGCAAAAGCAGGAGTCTTGTTCTGAAACATCTGAGCACCCGCAGCTCCCTCAGTGATCAGGGGCAACATTCAGATGTGACCGATGGGTTTGATGTGGTTAATTACTCACTGTTCTGATGGAGCAAAGTGTAGAGGCTTCTGCTCCAGCTTTCACAGCAATAGTCATATGCTCAACATTTAAGCTACTGCCTCGTGCTTTGGTTAGTGAGCATTCTGTTTTGTGGCATCAAGCCTCTTTCCATAGGCTCACTCTGGGACAGCTGATCAACATTTGGTGCTTTGTCTAAGGTTTTGTTCTTGGACTATGCTGTTAATTAAACTTTTAAAATTGGATTCTGCTAGTATTGGGCAATTGCAGTAAGTCCAGCCTTTTCTTTATCTGGTTGGAAGTAGTGGCTCCCACTCTCATATGCTCATTTTTATATTACTAGCTCTCATGGTGGTCTTATAAAGGAAAACTTCTGGTTCTTGTTGCTTTTAATTCTAGATTTAGTAAATGTAAAGTAATGAAATTGGCTGGAAAATGTCAGGTGGGGGGTAAATGGGAAGTGACTTGCTTATTTTGTCCTTCACGTTCAGAAGGGCAGGCATGTGAGCTGTTGTGTCACACTAGTGGAGATCAGACAGTAGTGCATGTTTTGGGCAGGGGACATTTGGCTCTCAGTGTTTGCACAGGTTGATGCAGATGCTGAAAGCTCACGGTGTGATGTGGCAGTTATGCAGAAAAAAATCATTGCAGTTGCATCTGCATTTGGGAAGTCACTGTTGAATCTTCCCTCACTCTTCAGGAAGTTTCAGGGTGTCCTTTTCCCTTTCTTTACATTCTTCTCACGGTATCTGCTGTTGGACAGCATTCAGCTGGAGGGAAGATACAAAGTAGAGCCCTGGTCTCCATAAAATAATTCTTGCATTACTTAATTAGCTAAAATTGTAAAGATATATACATGCGTTGTACATTTTATATGTTAGCTTTATGTAGTAGGGCAGACTTAAAAAAT